CAATTGGTTACTGCTTCCGTGTTATTTGGTAATCAGAGCTATGGTTGCCACATAAATGGCTGAACAGAATAATGGTGGTCGAGGTCAAGATCGTGGACGACGGGGTCGAGGCGACGATGGCAGTAGAAGGCGTGGTAACACCCTTAACGGCGACGACGAACAACCACACATCGACGCGCGAGATGCCACAGTTGCAACAATGGCCACTACAATTGCAGAACAAGGTAGACAAATTCAGGAGCTCGAACAACTGTTTGCCCAAACACAGTTGGACGAGTCAGTTGAAGGAAGAAAATATGTAAGATCATCTCATGAGGAGGAAAGAAGCGAAAATCTATTATGGAACTGGAACCAGGAGCAACGAGGACGAAGTCAACCTAGAAATCAATCCTTTTTTGCTAATATTGCAGTGAAGATTGAGATCCGAAAATTCGAGGGTACCATTCATCCAAATGAGTTCATCGACTAGTTACACACCATCGATAGGGTCTTTGACATCAGAGACTTGACAGAAGACTAGAAGGTCAATCTGGTCGCTATCAAACTGAGGAAGCATGCCTCAATTTGGTGGGAATATATTAAGAAACAGCGAAACAAAGAAGGAAAGTCGAAGATCGGGAGTTGGGATAAGACGAAGAAACTGTTGCAACAACATTTTTTTACCTATTCACTGCCGGTGGGAGGCATTTATTGAGCACCATAATCTCAAGCAGCAAGACTATCAATTGAATAGTATACAACTGAGTTTGATCGTCTGCGGATGCGCTGAGATATCGCAGAGGAGGACAAACAATTGGTTGCTCATTACCTAGGAGGACTGCGGACCGAGATCTCAGATGTTGTATACTTGCAACAATATTGGTCATATGAGGACGTATGTCGACTATAAATGAAATTTATTAAATTCGATTTTTCTCGTTCTATTAGCTTTGATGGTAGAGGAGCAGTATAAGAGAAAAAGAAGTACTTCAAAATTCCAACCCAAATTTTTTGGTAAAGGAAAGTTATCAAGCTCAACAGCCTACACTAGTGTGGGGAAGGATCCTTCTAACCCAAAACTAGAAAGCAAAGGGGTAATGACCAATGGTGGAGCTAGCAAGACAGGAACTACGGCAAAGAGGTGTTTCAAGTGTCAGGGTTTAGGACACTTCGTTGCTGATTGTCCAAATCGGTAATATGTTATTCTTATCGATACTCCAACTAATGATATAGGCTCCACCTATGATTAGTGCGAAGGAGATCAGGTGAAAGAAAGGTCTGAAGAAAGCAAAATTATCTATGGTGATGTTGGAGAATCCTTAGTTATTCGGAGGGTTCTGAGTGTAGACGTAGCCGATGATGAGTTGTGGCTCCGACATAATATATTCCACACTAAGTGCACCATTGGTGGCAAGGTGTGTAGTATGATCATTGATGGAGGGAGATGTGAGAATGTTGTCTCTAATACCATGGTCGAGAAGTTAGGGCTAAAAACTGAGGAACACCCATAGCCCTTCAAGCTTTCTTGGCTGAAAAAAAGAAGTCAGGTGAAGGTGAATAAGAAGTGCCTCGTTTAGTTTTCTATCGGCAAGAAATATACTGATGAGGTGTGGTGTGATGTCATTCCGATGGATGCATGTCATATCTTGTTAGGTAGGCCGTGACATTTTGATAGGAAGACGTGATATGATGGCTTCAAAAACACTTAAACTTTCAAGAAGGATGGATTGACTATTACTTTGTGCCTTCTGATTTGAGGGATGAGGCAAAGAATACTATATTATCCAGAGCATATTTCCAACAAGAAGTCGCCAATGCCGTTGAGATATTTGCTTGTGTGATAATGGAAGAGAATTTTGATGTTTCTGACATTCCCTTGTAGGTTAAGTCGTTGTTGGAAGACTTTGTTGATGTGGTCCCTGAGGAGATGTCACTGGGACTGCCACTTATGAGAGACATCCAACATTACATTGATTTTGTGCCAGGAGCTATTATACCCAACAAAGCAACATATAGGATGAGTTCTAAGGCGCATGAGGAGTTACACAAATAGGTGTTGGAGCTGCTGAAGAAGGGTGTAGTAAGGGAGAGCATGAGTCGCTATGCAGTACCTGCCTTGTTGGTCCCTAAGAAAGACAAAACCTAGAGGATGTGCGTCGATAGTAGGGCTGTCAATCGGATCACCATCAAGTATCGTTTTCCCATACCTCGCTTTGATGACTTAATTGATCAACTTCATGGAGCAATAGTCTTCTCAAAGATAGACTTGCAATTTAGTTATCATCAAATCAAAATACGATCTGGCGATGAGTGGAAGACCACCTTCAAGACAAGGGATGAGTTATATGAGTGGATGATTATGCTATTTGGCTCATCTAATGTGCCAAGCACATTCATGCGGTTGATGAACCAGGTTTTTTGAACTTTCGTTGGTTCTTTTGTTGTAGTTTGTTTCGATGATATCTTGATATATAGCTCCTCTGTTGATCATCACTTACTACATCTGAGGAAAGTGTTTAAGGCCTTAAGGAAACAGAAGTTGTATGTAAATCTGAAGAAATGTCATTTCCTCACCAATTCTATGACCTTTTGGGGTATATAATTTCTGCTGATGGTATTAGGATGGATCCAACAAAGGTTGAAGCTATTACTGGATGGGAGACATCTAAGAGCATATATGACATCATAAGCTTTCATTGTTTATCCTCTTTCTATATGAGGTTCATTCATGATTTCAGCACTATTATATCACCGATTACAGACTTTCTGAAAGGAAGCAAGTTTGAGTGGACTAAGGAGGCAGAAACGACATTCCAATTACTAAAGCGGAAGGTAACTGAAGCACCCGTTCTGGTGCTGCTTGATTTTTCTGATGTTTTTGAAGTGCATTGTGATGTTTCTGGAGTTGGCATAATGAGTGTACTCAGTCAAAAGAATAAACCTGTAGCATTCTTCAATGAAGTTGAATGAAGCCAAGAGGAAATATTCTACTTACGACAAGGAGTTTTATGTTATAATTCGGAGCTTGGAGCATTGAAGGCACTATCTAATTTCTAAGGAGTCTATCCTGTTTTCTGATCATGAAGCCTTGAAGTATATTAATGTCCAGCACAAACTGAATACCAGGCACGCTAAGTGGGTGGAATTCCATCAAGCTTTCAACTTTGTTATTCAACATAAGGTAGGAGCGCTGAACAAGGTCGCAGATGCACTTGGCAGGAAGCACTCATTATTATCCACTATGCAGATAAAGGTTGTTGGTTTCAATACTGATTTTAGGGATATTTGGAAGAAATGCAAGGCAGGGCCCTATATGCAGTTTTTGATAGTTGATGGGTTCCTTTTTAAAGGCAATAGACTTTGTATTCCTCATTGTTCACTACCGGAGGCGATCATCCTCAAGGGACATTCAGGAGGGTTAGCAAGGCACGTTGGTGTTCACAAGATAATAGCCTTGATCTGCGAACACTTATATTGGCCCTAAATTGAGCGTGATATTGCTAGACTTGTGGAGAGGTACAGAGTTTGTCACATTGCTAAAACCAAGGGCACTAATGCTAGCTTATATTTACCCCTCCTTGTTCCAAATGCACCGTGGGAAGATATCAGTCTTGACTTCATATTAGGCCTTCCAAGAACCCAACGCAATAAGGATCCTATCATGGTTGTGGTGGATAGGTTTTCAAAGATAGCTCATTTTATCCCATGTAACAAGACTTTTGACGCTTCGTAGGTAGCTAATTTGTTTTTGCAGGAAGTTGCGAAACTCCATGGCATACGTAATACCATCACTTCCGATCGTGATGTGAAGTTTGTAAGTCATTTCTGGCGCACTCTTTGGAGGCTGATGGGGACAAAGCTACAATTCAGTTCATCTCACCACCCCCAAACTGATGGTCAGATCAAAGTTATGAACACAAACTTGAGCAATTTGCTGCGGAGCTTGGTTGGAAAGAATCCCAAGCAGTGGGACTTGGTGTTATCGCAAGCAAAATTTGCTTACAATAGATCATAGAGTCGCACTACAGGCAAGAGCTCCTTTGAAGTTGTTTATGGGCATAATCCAACTACCCGTGTGGACTTAGCACCATTATCAGTATGTGACTATTTCAGTGAAGATACTGAGGATCACGCCAATCACATTAAGGAGTTACATTTGCGGGTTCATAATCATATTCAAAGGCATAACATGAAATACAAGTAACAAGTTGACAAGCATAGGAAGCGAGTTGTGTTTAAGGAAGGAGATTTGGTATTGATCCACCTTAGGAAGGAACATTTTTCGGCTAGCAGGTTTGGCAAGCTTCAGCCTAGAGCTGATGGCCCCTTCAGGGTGCTCGAGAAGATCAACGTCAACGCTTACAAGATTTCACTTCCTGGGAAATAATATGTTTCTGGTACTTTCAATGTTGCAGACTTGTCCCCTTATCAAAATGAAGAGGAGGACCTGGTGTGAGAGTAACAGTGAATATCCGTTAGATTTGAGGACGAATCTTCTTTTGACAGGGGAGGATGATGCACCCAAGCTAACTGACTTGGATTGAGTTTTTTCATAATTTATTTCATAGTTTAGGGATTTCAAATAATTGCTAGTTATTTCTTTTTTTTGTTATTTTAAGATTATGTTTGAGTGTACGTTGATTGTGCGTTATCTCCTTTGATTGCGCATGATTCCTTTTTGATTGCATTTTGTTTTGTTTTGTTTTGCCTATTTAAGACTTGTAGAACCCTATTATTATTTGGTTGTTTTTGGTTAATAAAATTTAGAAAAAAATAATAATATTTTCTCGCAATTCTTGTATTCAATCTTCTTTCTGTTTAGTCAATTGGTTACTGCTTTGACATTACTAAACCCATAATTATATACGTTTATCAAAATATTTGTTTCCCATATATAGATACAATATAAACTAGTATTGAACACCTTCATATAGATGACTGTTAATTTTAAACACCAAAGAGGCATCAATTACACCAAAGGATAGGTTTCTTGAATACAACTTGCTTCTGTAAATGGATATGGATGATGGTACTTAAAACTAGTTCAAGAAATGAAATACATGGGATTAGGGAGCTTGAAAGTACGATTTCCCAAACACTCTCCTTGAAGATCACTCCACTGGTCTCCCACATTTCCCCATATCCTGTACCCTTCTCCTTCTATCTCCTTCCGAATTGCTGACTTGTATCTCACTGCACTTAGCCCTCTGTATTGTTCAGTCCTACAATGAAGCATTCATCACAACCAATGGTTAATAAGACACATGATTAACCAACTTTGTTACATTTTATTACTAGACTAAGTGACACTTTTGCAATCACAAGACACAAGACTAAAAGAGATTGTCCTTTAATTTGGCTTTAGTTGTCTGACACGGCACATCCAGACGAAAAGTAAATTAAGAGGAAGCAGTCAAAATCTTTCTTTATTGTATTTGCATGCATGTGTAACATGGAAGGTGCCAACTTCAGCATGGCGTTGTAGACTTTGTAGTTCAACCATAAGTTTAAAAAAATAAATGATAGTTGACCAAGTCTATTGCCTTTTTTTCCCCCTTCTTTTAAAGTTTAAACAGGAATTTAATATCAAACAATCAAATCCAATGATCTCAATGAAAGCACTGCAACATTCAAAAGTAAACACTACTACCATCTTAGCGGAAATTTCTTCAATATATTGAGAGTATCGAACTGAGTACTCTCTTTTATTAAATAGAAAAAAAAATTAATTTCAATCCCAACTTTTCTTTATATTTCTCATTAAATCTTAAAAAAATTTCCCTTTTTAATATGGATGTAGGTACTCCCTCTATACCAAAAGTTCTCTTCTCCACCTCAACCCACGTAGGTAGGTCGGTGCACATTGATATAATATGATTATGAAATTTATATTTGGCATTGGGGCAGGTCATATACAAGTCATCAAATATAAAACGTATCTGGGTTGGAAAATTGCATATGGAAAAACATGATTGCACCGCATATTTTCCATGTCCTCTATCTTTCTCAAAGAATATTGCATTATTGGAGGAAGTTTCCTGTATCCACTAACCGTTAAAAAAAATAGAAAGTGCAGGCACGGCAAAAACCTATGCTTTTGTCCTACTTGTAACGTTATCCTATCACAACATCTTCCAACTAGCCAAGTCTCTAATCCTCATCATTATCGTGCTTTTTTTTTTTTCCGTACCAACCTTAATTCTCTCTTTAAGGCAAGTGGTATCCTTCGGTATCCTTACAAGTTTCATTCTTTAAGTCGAGTATCTAAGATAAAGGTTTCATACCCCTCCTCAAGATAGTATTGATGGGAATGCATGCTTATCTTATATTCTATTCTTAAATTACATATTCTATAAGAAACTCCTATTTCCTTTTAAGAAATTTTTGTAAATTGAATGAACAAATGAATATTTATTATTAAATAATGAATATATAAACTATTTTGGATAAAACATTTTACCTAGTTTTTTGTCTACCTTATCTATTCATCTCTAACACTATTAGATTAGAATTTCAACTAATTTCTAATTTTTGTCTCTCTTTTTGAGATCCTGATATAATAATATTAGAGACGAGTAAATAAAATAGGCATGAAAAAATAGATAAAATATCCTATCCCAAACTCTTTACTTTTAAAACTATAATATTTTATGGATTTTATAAGAGTTATGTTGTAGGAAAAATGTTTGTCTAATGTTATAGAGATTCGTTTTGCGTGCCGTAATTTTCTTTTTCTTTTTTTTCTTCAAAAAGTGTGAGCCCCGCAAAATGTTGTGTATGTAGAAAATTTTGTTGTGTCATATTAAATAATGACAAATGCAAATCCCATATTTTATATAGGATTGTTTTGCTTTCTTTTACAACTCACTTTGTGCGGTTTTAGATACCTAACACCACCCGTTTTATTAGTTGCCGACTTTCCCGTGGACTATATAATAAAAATCAAACACACGGGTTAGTTAGGCGAACGGAAAGAAAAGAATAATTAATGAACAAAAATTTTTCATTCGATTTTTTCATTTATGCATAATTTTTTTACAATGGTTATATAAATTTTGAAAATTATCTAATCATACTCCGTTTTATTTAAAAGTAAATATTAAGTGAAAATTCTTGGTAAAACATTATAAGGCAGGTGTGTCATTTGCATAAATGCAAAATTAATGTTGGCTTCACCAACATTTTTTTTTTTTTTTTTTTTTTCTCTTTTTCATAGTTATGGTAAAAATAAATAAAAATAGAATTTTCGGGAGTATATTTTGGTATAATAAAAATTGGGATGGCATGCATGTTGTTGAGTACATGTTGAAAGTTTGACCAATCGACATAGAAAATAATGAGTGGATAGAGACGATTAAAGAGCAGTGCTTCTAGGAAGTTGCTCAAAGGTCAACACATAATTGGAATCCACTTCACACCATCAATTACGCCACCTGTTTTGTCGTATGTCTTATGTGATTCCAAACGTCATATATCAGGCGCAGTTTCTATAACTTTTTCAATTAAAAAGATGAGATAGATATCACATATTATATGATACACATCATGTTCACCCTAAAAAGCATCATATATAGAACAGTGTCCTAGTTAATTTTTTCTCTACATATTTGGCGCATGTGAAATTCTAAAGATGCTCTTTTGTCTGAACCGAGTTTTTTTTTGTTCTTACTACGGTAGGAGTCCCAATCTACCTAATCAGGCATGGGCTAACAAATTAGACTGTGCATACTGCATAGGTCGTCAGCTATCAAATAATTACTATAATATTATAATGAAATATTTTTTATATATACGTAAAATTTTAGAGAATTTATTTATTTTTTCTCTTTTTTATATGGTTTCATATAAGTTTTATATATTTTAAAATATATGTAAGAGATAAAATTATTTCCTACGAAACGAGAAATACTAATCTAAATTATAATAATATAAAAACATAGTTTTTATAAAATTAAAGGTGGCTAGCAAATAATTTATATGCATACCTCAAAATAAGACGCTCATAGCCGATGAATCCTTGGTTACGCAAGTTGTCAGTGGTGATTTTTCCGAGTGTTGCTTCGTCTCTACCTGTTAGCAAGAAAACTTTGAATCCTCTTTGTCTCAAAGTGTTAAATAATCCTAGTACAGCTGCATTTGCCGGGCACATTCCTTTCATTATCCATGCCTTGAATATCGTTTTATCAAACGGGTCGCACCTGCACATATTGCATATAATTCATAATACATGTGCCTCATGACCCTCGCACATATTTATATATTAATAATACTCGATACTTACCAGCAATATGAATAATATGATAATGAGAGAGTTTCAACATTCATATAATTAAGAATATTCAACACATGCGTGTGTTCGAGTTCTAGATATACAAAATATATATGTTAATAACTTAATAAGAAAATTTTGGTGCTCGTGTTCTTCGAGTCCCTAATTGGGTAATTGATGAATCAATGTAAATATAAATAAATAAATTTTATATCTCACTAATCAATTTTATATTTATCTTCTTCTTTTTTATAGTTATGTGTTTATCTTTTTTCATGCCTATTCTATCTGGTGTTTTCTAAACACGTTAAATCAGAATTTGAACTAACTTTCACTCTCCTTTTTTTTTTTATGAAATTATTTTCTAATTGTGTTAGAAATGAATAAGTAGAATAAGCATAATATCATATCCCTTTTAATTAAGGGGATTAATTTTCTTATTTTACATGAGAATATTTTCTCATGTTACACACACAATACATGAGTGAGGTCCACAAAAAAGTAAAAAAATCAAGATGGATCCCACCTTTTAATTGTGAGTGTAACATGAAAAAATTTCTCGTGTAAAATGAGAAAACTATTTCCCTTTAATTAATAAGAAAATGAGATATAAATATATGAATAAAATTTTATTAACATAAGGATTTAATATAGAAGAAGAGTAGTTAATTACCCAAATCGCTTAGCTTGATAATAAGATAAGTTAGAGATGCAAGTGTCATCGACGTCTAAAATCCAGGCATCCATGCCATCAGGAGAGAGGGGTATCTCAGAGGAATGTAACAAAATTTGATCGACGATGAGATTGAGGTCATGATGGTATTGGCCACGTGTCATGTAGTTATGGAGGTGGTTGTAGCACTGAAGTGGGACCGTACGCCATGGACGCACATTGTTGGACTCAACCGCCAACCTCCAGCTGAGACCGTAGGCATCATCGGAGTCATCATCAAGAGTAATACTCTGTTTGTGACACTGAGGTTTCTGTCTGAACAGTACCTTGGCTAATAAGCCCAACAAAAGAGTCAATCCCTTCACTACTCGCTGCATCATTTTCATCTTTAACATCATCTTTTGGGGTGCATATATATAATATAAATAGAGTTGGAAGAAAATGATGAGAATATGGAAAACGAACAAAAATTAGGGAAAGGAGAGAATGGACATAAAGATAGGATGTGGGTTGCTGACAGAGAGGCAATTACGGTGTGGGGGGTGATGGCAGAGAATGACGAAGAGCAGTGTGACTTTTAATCTTGAGTTATTGGGGCCCAGGCGGAAATTTCACAGAAATCATCTTCTCCTTTTAATTTCGTCTCCCTCCATTCTTCGATATTGCTTAGACTCGGCCTCTCTTTTGAAAGGTAAAACCAAAAGCAAAAGGACGGGCGTTTTTTCAAGAGATAATTTTATCATATATATATATATATATATATATATATATATATATGTATATATATATATATATAGATAGGATCATTTGACACCAGTGTCAAATCTCATCTGAGAGTTGTTAGATAAAAAAAGATCAACGACTCTGATTTGTAAACATGTGACACCATTGATCTTTTTTGATCTAACGGCTCTCAGATGAGGTGTCAAAATTAAAATTTGACACCAGTGTCAAAAGATCCTACCTTATATATATATATATGAGGTAGGATCTTTTGACACCGGTGTCAAATTTCAATTTTGACACCTCATCTGAGAGCCGTTAGATCAAAAAAGATATATGAGGTAGGATCTTTTGACACCGGTGTCAAATTTCAATTTTGACACCTCATCTGAGAGCCGTTAGATCAAAAAAGATCAATGGTGTCACATGCTTACAAATCAGAGTCGTTGATCTTTTTTGATTTAACGGTTCTCAGATGAGGTGTCAAAGGATCTTACCTATTTATATTATATATATATATATATATATATATATATATATATATATATATATATATATAGTAAATATCATTTTCGGTCCTCAGCAAATTTTACGATGCTCGTTTTAGTCCCTAGCAAATAAAAAGGCTATTCGTGGTTCTAAGAAATTCAAAGTGGACCTATTTTAGTCTTTTTGAGGGACTAATGTGGGTCTTTTTTGAATTTGCGAGGGACCAAAATTTCAACTAAATGGGTTCATTTTGAATTTTTTAGGTACCACAAATAGTCTTTTTATTTGCTAGGGACTAAAGCGGACATCGTGAAATTTGCTTAGGACAAAAAATGGTATTTACTCTTATATATATATATATATATATAAAAGTATATGTGAGATTCATATTTTATTTTTATCTCTCTTCACTTTACATGACTCTGTATGGGTCTCACATACTTTTATGTGTATAAAAGATAAAATTATTTTCTATAATATAAGAAACATTAATTCCTTCTATATATTAACAAATGTAGTAAAGTAACTATCCAGGTGCGAAGAACCCCGGAGGTGACTGCAATGAGCAGAAATCTGGGATCTCGATGAGAACTCCGCTACTTAATCCACTGGCGTGGCGCTGCTGGATGCTTCTGATCAATAGAACAGGAAGAGGAGGAAAAAAAAGCTTATGATGAGCATCTATTTGAGTCGATCACCAAACATATCCCAAACTTCTCGCTCCCACCGGCCGGCTGATGGAAATAGACTGACTACCAGAGATATTCGTGTTACTTCGTCTGCACTGGTTTGTACACGAATGCGTGAGTTATACCGAGTAGAGGCACAAAGAAAATCAAAGATGGTTGGACAAAATCAATCTAGTAATTTTTATTAGAAGAAAATATTATTGGGTATGACTCATACTTCATTTAGATAATGATTCTTGTTTGTGGAACGCAGAGAAAGCCAACGAGGTGTGGGAATACAATGCTGCCGAGATTGCGGAGGTCTAATACTATTATGGGCCTTAAGTTTATTTTATTCTAATCTCTTATTTAGTAGTTTATACTTGGGCTCATGAATAACTAGTATTCCTTAGAGTTTCTATGTCTATTTATATTTGTCTTATAAACTGAGTGCTTTGAATTGAGTACAATGAAAATACTATAGTGAAATATTACTAGAAGTGACCCAGATTAGGTGAATTAGGATAAATCACTGTCTCCATTCTTTTTTCCCTACTATATTATCTATTTTACATTTCTGTGTATGATTGCTTGGTCCCAACATTTTGGCTAGAGACAGTTTGGTTTGAAATACTCGAAGAAGCTTCTATTGAGGGAGAGGATGCTGATATGGGGTTTCACACTTGAGGGAGAGATTGTTGAGATATTCAAGTGTGACGGAGTCTTATATTAGTTGATAATGAACTAAGTAAAGACTATATAATAAGAGGACCTATGATCCAAATGACTTAAAGTTTTGAGTTAAGATATAAGGTCGGATACACTTGCTACCATTGGCGGACCTCCATGGTTGCTTATGTGTGCAAGTGCAAACACAAAAAAAAAAAAATCGTTTGAAATAGCTTGAAGAGTACAGTACCTTTTGGGTCCTCAACAAAAGTCACAAAGTCCATTTTAATCCCTTAGAAAGAAAGAAGTCGACTTATAATCCCTCTGAAATTCGAAATAGACACATTTAGTCGAAATCGTGGTCCTTCTTAATTTCAAATAAGACCCACATTAGTCTCTCAAAAAGAATAACATAAGTCTATTTTGAATTTCAGAGTGACCACGAGTCAACTTTTTTTTTCTAAAGGATTAAATTAGGCCCGATGATATTATTGAGGACCCAAAGGTACTTTACTCTAGCTTGAAATAACATTGACAAAAAATGAGATATATGTGAAATAGCTTGAAATAGCAAAGTTTGATATATGTAAATAGTTTTCTTTTTTCTTTTTGTTTATATTCTTTTATTTTTAATGCATTTTAAAATTTCTTTAAAAAGAAATTTTTGGGAGCAACACAACCTCTGCTACTAAATATGTAGACATAAATAAATTTTTTTGGTCCGCTACTACTTTCTACGAAAGGTATAGCTTAGGTTATTGGTTGTGGTACTTCAGCGTGATCTCTCCCTATCCCGTCGGATAAATATTGATTTTTTTTATATTGAATCTCAAAATTTTAAGATACTCAATTATCGTGATTATAATAATCATTTAATGTTTTTTTGTTTTTGTTTTTTTTTCCGTGATCTTCTTGAGATCTCCCAACTTTATTATTTATTTTTTTAGTTTCTTTATTTAGTAATATATTATATGATTTATTTTTATTTTTATCACACTACAATAAAAAATGTCTTCATTTTAAACTTTAAAAAAATAATAAAGGGTATTTTGAGAAAAATTATGTTCTAAGCGAGAAGTAAAACTTTCAAACTTTTATCTATTTTTTTTTTCAAACCACAAAAAATCATTTTGGGTTGCAGGATATGATTCTATCTTATTTAATAAAATTATATATTTTTTCAGATTATTCATAAACCAGTAATAGAATTAAGAAATAGATTATTTCCTATACTCAATTATCTTCTCGTTACTATTTTATTGTAAGAAAGATACAATAAAATATATAAGGGAAAGGAAATGGAAAGATAGTTAAATTATAATAATTGATTATAGTAAAAATTATGATTTAACTATTTTTTAATAAAAAAATTAATATAATATATTTTTAATCACAAGTTTTAAAAAAATATTTTTTCTATTTAAAAAAAAAAAATTCTTTCAAAATTTTTTATTTTACTAAAAATTATTTTCCCTTTAAAAATAACATGAAAATATTATTAAAATGTAATTTGAGTTGTTATTCATCCCAAGTTTAAAAATAATTCAGAGAATTGTTTAAAAGAAGGGTTTATGAAAATTTATGAAATTTTTCGATTTTTTCCCTCTATTTCCCATTCTTTTTATTTTAATTTTTTTATTAATTCATAAATTATTTAATTAACTCAGTTTTAGTTTTGTCAAACACACATACAAAACGATTCTCCCATAATAATTTTGTTTTTCACTTCCAAAATTGAAAATCAAGATCTTTAATTAACAAAAAAACAAAGACTTTAATTTACCAATCTTCCTTTTGCATAAATATTTTATCCAAGCATGTTATCAAAAATTGGAAAATCAATAAAAAATCGTAAAATTAAAAAAAATTAAGTAAGATATTAGTTTTTATATTTTTCATTTTATTTAATGAAAATGTCATAATTAAGATAAAAATAAATTATAAAAATAATTAAAAATTCATCAATTATTTAAAATGATAAATAAAATGGAAAAAATAATTTTTCTAAAATAGTAGACATTTTAGAATGGAAAAAGTAATATGTTTGAAAATCAAAAGAACTAATTACTTACCTGAGTCACCTCTGCAAATAATTAAAATCGATATATAGAAAATCAAATTCTTATTAATTAACGTCTTTTTTTTTTATACAAAATAAACGTCTTTTAAAGATACTCATTAACAAGATCTCTAAAAGTAAACTAAAACTTGTGATACTATAAATAAAGTTTACCGCACTGATTTTTGAATTATTAAGCCGTCAATTTTAGACTTGTTAATTTTTTGGATAGTGGAAGAAGAATATAGCAGTTAATTAAAACAAAATTAAAAGAGACATTTTGTAGTTTTGATTAGGGATGGTTATGCTTATTCCCCCCCCCCCCCCCCCCCCCCCCCCCCCCCCCCCTAAATTCCACAATGCTAAGGTCAGATTTAGGATCGACTTGAATATATATCTTTTGAATTATGTTATAGAAATTTCTACCCTATTAGTAAAAATAAAATAAAAGTCCACTCGACCAATAATATCATAAACGGAGATGAACAGAGACTTGGAATATAATTCGACGGCGGAATTGGAATAAATAATGATTACCTTTTACAACAATTCTCCCACGTGTTTGACATGTTTTGTGGGCCAAAGGCCTTATTCACAGAAGAGTACGATACCCTGTTGAGAGAACTTTTTAAGCTTTCTTACTTCTTAGTTCTTACAATACTTTTTTTTTTCTCTATATTCTTTAAGTTGAAATAAATCTTATGTGATTTATTTCAAGAATAATATATTATATGCACGTGGAATATTATCATAACTAAGACATTTGGAGGTGGACTTCATACTTTCTTCTATATATTATTAATAATTTTTGAAAGGTAAACTTGCTTTTATC